ATGGCCAAAAAACATATGAAAAAATGCCCAATGTTACTAATCATCAGATAAATGCAAATCAAAACCACAATGAGATGTCACCTAATCCCACTAAGAATGGCTTTTACCAAAAAGTCCCAAAACAATAGATGCTGGCATAAATGCAGAGAGAAAGGAACTTTTATACACTGTTGGTGGGACTGCAAACTAGTGCAACCTAGTTTGGAAAATAGTATGGAGATTTCTCAAAGAACTTAAGGTAGACCTACTACCATTTGATGCAGCAATCCCACTACTGGGTATTTACCCAAAGGGAAAAAGGTCACTTTATCAAAAAGGCACTAGAATGTTTACTGGAGCCCAGTTCACAATCACAAAGATGTGGAATCAACCCAACTACCCATCAACTCATGAGTGGATTAATAAAATGTGGTATATGTATACCATGTAGTACTACTCAACCATAAAAAAAATGAATTAATACCTTTTGCAACAATGTGGATGGAACTGGAGACCATCCTCCTAAGTGAGGTATTGCAAGAATGGAAAAACAAACACCACATGTACTCACTATTAAATTGAAACTCACCATTCAGCACTCATGTGCACAATTGGAATAAAACTTGAAATCATGCAGGTGGAAGGGGAAGGTAGGGATGGGTAAAATCATACCTAATGTATACAGTGTACACTATCTGAGTGAGGGGCACATTTATAACTTGACTCAAGCAGTACAAAAGCAATTCAGGTGACCAAAACATTTGTACCCTCATAATATTCTGAAATGGAAAAAAGAGCTCAAATTCTTATTCCAGTCTGTGATTCATATACATGTACTGGTGCCAATGAATTTGAATGACTTAAAATGTTTTTACAGTGTCTTAAATACATTACAGCTATTAAATCATGATTGTGAACACCATGTAATGAGTTTGGTTATGATTAGTATAACCAACATATAGGAAAAGTAAAACATAGAAGTGCACATACATTTATGATTGCAACTTTGTAAAGCGATTTGTATATAGGTATACATGAAAAGGACCCCAAAAAACTACTCTAAAATATTCTGAAGTATCTCCTATTCATATAATTAGAATTGAAAGCACAGATTTCTATGTGCCAGCTGATGTGACATTGTAATGAATTGCTTAATTTGTAAGAGTAGATCATGCATAGAATTTTTACTAAACTTTTTAAAAAAACCAAACAAACCCTAAATTTGTGAATTTGAAATTCCTTCCTAGTAGTCAATTCACTCCCAACACTAAATGTTCTGGTTCACCCTACCACTTCTGGGGAGACACATTAAGGTAGTTTTGTGTTTGCTCTTTGGGTATTGTTTTTTAAGTTGTGTTTCTTTATTTTGGAGTTCATTGATATTATACAAACAACTTAAAACTGTAGAATCATTCTTCCTAGGTAAAACTATAATTATTGTGAGTGCTGGCAATATCAATATTTATACACTACTAAGTCAGGTCAAGACGATAGCTAGTAGTCAGAGTACTTTCTAGAGACTATTTGACTTTAGCTTCTTGACCTTTTTATTGTTTGCAAACTGAACAAAGGCAATGGCAGAATAAAACATGAGGCACAGAAGTATTTAATAGTAGCTGTCTTTGAAATGGTGCTTCTCTATAGCTGTGACCTATCCTAAT